TGGGTCGGCACGGCCCTCCCAGTGAGCCCCGTGGAAGATGACGACATCGGAGGACTTCTGGATGGCCGGCGGCCGGGGCCAGCAGGGGCCTGGGGGGATGCGGCCGTGCCAGGCCTGAGGGCAGGAGGAGCAGGGCGGGGTGGATGGGGGTTCACTGCAGGGCCAGCCAGCGCCCCCCCACCAGCCCAAACGGGCCACTCCGGCCTGCCGACCGCAGTCAGAGCCCCACGCCTGGCAGCCTCTGAGAACCAGAGCTGGTGACTTCCGCCGGGGGCAGCACCTGGGGGCAGCACCCGGCCAGCCCCACGCGCAGCTGAGCCCTGGCCCCGGGGCGCGGGTCCCCACTGTTTCTATTTTTACAGGCTGCTGGCTTGGCCCGGTCCCTGGGGCCCAATTTGGAACCCGAAAGCACCTTTTCTATTCCGGTCCCACTTCCGGCCCTGGGGGCGGAGAAGGCCTCCTGGCAGCCCTGCCCCCCGCACCCCCCAGCCGTGACCCCCAGGGGCCGGCCGAAGGGGAAGCCTGCTCGGAGCCTGGGAAGAGGAAGCTGTGGTGCCCACACCCCCGGGACGGCCCCCAGCCCAGGGCGCGCAGCCCTCCTGCCAGCGTGGACCCGGGCCGCGGCACAGAGGCGCCAGGGGCCGAGCGACTCGGAGCCCCCGCGGTGGTCTGCGGGCGGCTGAGGGGAGCCGGGAAGGGGCAGGAGTGACTGGGGCCGCGGCCACAGGCCCTGGGCGGCCCCCAGGGCCCCCGACCAGCCTCTCTCCATCCCCTCGCACGCCCATCCTAAGGTGGCATTTACCCCCCAAACACAGAGCTCCCCAAATTATGCTGCGGCCCTGGCACCCCCTCCATGTGCCCCCTTGGCCAGTCACCAGGCTCACGGGCACCCTCCCCAGGCTCAGGCCCTGCCCACAGCGCCCCAGGACGGCCGCAGCCCCGCAGCAGGTGCGTGCCCCGCTCCCCAGCGCCTGGCGCCGGCCTGGCTCCGCCGGTGGGGGCAGTGCCAGGCCCCCGCGGGGCAGGACAGGGCCGGCTCGCCATGCTGTGCGTTTCCCTGCCCGCTGCATCCGTCTGGAGCTGCTGTGAATGGCACAGGCCCCGCTTCATGAGAACCCGGGGCCCCGAGAAGTGACGCACGGCGGAGGCGGGGGGGCTGGGCGCTGCGCCCTGGGCCAGCTGCAAGGGCCTCTCCCTGCCCACACAGCCACCAGGGCCTTTGCCGGACACACGCTGCGCAGGGAGGGCAAGGCCGGGCCAGCGCCTCGGTGAGCAGCGGGATGCCGGCCGCACCGCAGGGCGGGCAGGTCCACCTGGCTGCCCGGGCCGAAGGAAGCTTCCTCGGGGACCCCGGGGTGCATCGGGCTGTCACCGCTGCGGCCGAGTCCAACCCGGCCGGCCGGGGAGTGACCCGCAGCGGACACAGAGCCCGCCTGTCCACCTGCTCCCCTGCGCGCCCGCGTTCCCAGGGCTCCCTCCCTCCTCCCGGGCGGCGGCTCTGCTCCTGGCTCTGCTCCTGTGCTCGCTCTTCTGGGCCACAGGTGGCTGTGAGCGTCCAGGGGTCCCGGCAGGGCCGGCAGGCGGAAGGTGGGCCTGGCGAGCAGGGCGGTGGGCACCGTGTGGCGACCTGGCAGCAGACAGGCCTGGAGCCCCGGGCCCGTCTGATCCCTGAAGTTGCCCACCGGGGGGGGACGCGCGCTGGACTATGGAGCTGGCACAGGGTGACGCGGCGGTGGGAAGCCCACGGGCTGGCACCTGAGATGGAAAACGGCGCAGAGTGATGTGGAAATGAGCTGTTGCACCATTTCGAACAAATACATCTTTAAAAAAGGACCCCCCCGCCCCTCAGGCGGGTCCTGGGGGGAGGCCAGGGCGCCCCACACGAGCTGGGCCCTGGCTCTAAGTAGATGTGCCCTAGACCCTTGTTTCCCGCAGGCCCCCGCTGATCCGCCGAAGCCCGGAGGGGCCTGCGGGGCTCAGGCCAGGCTGGGAAGGGCCCGCCCGCCCCCTTCTGCCCGGCATCCAGGTGTCCCCAAGGCCACTGGTCTTTTTGGGGGGGAGGATGAGGTGCTGGGGCCTGGAACACTTACGGGTCCCCGAAGCCCCACCTTCGCCTGCTCTGGGGTGGCTGCGTCCCCCACCTGAAGGGACTCCGGTGGGGGCGGACGGGGCTGGAGCACGGCCGGCTGGACGGGCGTGACGCCCACCCTGAGCGCCCGCTCTCGGGCTTGCCCGGCTCGGGCGACCTGAATCTTCAAGCGTCTCGGCTACGGGTGACGGCCGTCGGCGCGCGGGCCCGCCCGAACGCCCAGCTCTCGGACACTACTTCCGCTGCCCCCGCGGCTGGGCTGACAGGGACAGCTGACCCCTCAAACACCAGAACCCTCGGGGCGGGGCAGAAGGCGGTGAGACCTCACAGCCGAGCGCGGCCCCGCGAGCCCACGGGCGCCCGAGGCCCGGCCCCGCAGAGTGGCCCAGGAGGCAGCCCAGCCCCGGCGCGTGGCCGGGCCGTGGCCTCGCAGGAGGGACGGCGGCAACGCCGGCCGGCACAGGGTCTGGGGGGCTGCCGTGAGCAGAGGCAAGCCGGCAGGGGAGAGGCTGGCCGAGGCCCCGCTCCGGGCCTGTGAACCCACTCCTGCGGCGGGGTCGCCCGCGGGTGCCCCTGCGAGTGACCGGGCCCGGGGACCCTGGCAGGCCCTGCCCCGCTGACCGCTTACGGGCCTCCCGTTGTCCAGGTGGAGCCCACTGAGGGCCTGGATTTGGCTCCTGGGCCCAGAGCGGGGCAATCTGCGTCCCTTTGCCCCCAGTTCTGAAGGCGCGGAACTTTCTAGAATCCCCTCTCCTGGGCAGATACGCTAGTGTTAGATTTCTGGAAAACGGAGTAAGATAGGGAAAAATGACGTCCGGGAGGGTTTCGGTGTCGCGGGCAGGGTGGACAGGAAGGGGTGCGCGGGGCCCCGCCTCGGCCCGGCCAGACCTTCAGGCGCGGCCCCGGGGTGGGGCGCCCCCCAGGGACCCCCGTCCGTCGGCGGCAAGGCGAGCGGGCCCTGGCTCACGGAGTCTGCCCGAGCTCCGGGGACGGCGAGGGGCTCGCTGGGGCCCAGCCTGCCGCGCCCCGGCACCCCAGGAGCCCCTTGCGACTTGGGGCCCGGCTCGGCTTCGCCAAGTCACCGTCCTTTGTCCCCCGGACACTGCACGCTCCGTCGCCAGCTGGGGCTTCCCACTGCAACAGAGCCCGGTGCCGGCCGGGGCAGGGCCAGGGCCCCCGGGCCCCACCGAGCCCCGTCGGCAGCAGGGGACAGGGCCTGGCCTCTGCCTCGCGCTGACCGCCGCGCAGCAGCCCCGGACGTCAGCCAGCTCTTCTGCGGGGTGAGGCAGCCGCGGCCTGCTGGCGCCCGCTGCGGGGTGGGGGCTGTCCACTCTGGTCCAGCTGGCTCTGCCACATGCGCGTTCCCGAGGTCAGCGGCCTTCAGGGTGCTGGAGGGCACTGGGTGCCCCTGCGGCCGAGACCCAGACGCAGGGGGCACGGCGCGGGCGGGGCGCACGGGCAGGTCCCCCGCCGTCCAGAGCCGAGGCTCCCGTGAACCCCCAAGTGCCGTGGTGGGCGTGAAGATGCTCTCGCGTGTTTACGTGGGGGAAGACACGGAGCGCTCCCAAAGGGAACCGCACCCTCCAGGCCACGGCCCGGGCCACGGCCCGGCCTGCGACGCGGGCTCGGCCACCCAGGCCAGCGCCCACGTGGGCTCAGCCCACAGGCCAGCGCCGAGCCCCTTGAGCCCCGTTTTCACTGTCTTGAAGGCAAAACCCCTCTGGCCCAGCAAGGACTGCGGTGGGCAGCCCCAGAGAGGGGCCTCCCCCGAGGCTGGGGTCTTGGGCTGGGCCACTCTGGAACGTGACCCTCCGCTCTGCAGGGGGCCGGGCCGGCGGGCGCCGGCGCAGACAGGCCTGGGCAGGCGGGCACAGCTGCCTCCAGGCCCCCCGCTTCCAGGGCCGGCTGGCTGGCTGCGCAAGTACTGGTCTCCGCCCGGGCCCCCGTGCCCTCGCCCCCAGTCGGCGCCTGAGACTTTTCCACACCACCGTGCTGGGGCTTAACCTCCCTGCGGCCCCCTGGAATCCTCGGGGTGGGGGGGTGTCCTGGGGCGCAGGCTGGGCCTGTGTCCCTGCACCCCCAGTCACTGAAAAAGACGGACAGCCTGGGTCCACCCCCCGCGTCCTCTGGGGCGCGGGGTGAGCGGGCGCCGCTGGCTGATGTTGAGCAGCCGCAGCAGGCCCAGCTGGGTCCGAGACTTGGGGCGGCCTGGGCCCCCTCTCCCTGCCCAGTGGGTTCATCGGGACACTCGAGCCCTCTCCTTGGGCCCCTACAGCCCAGGTTCCCCATGCCAGGGCGGGCCGGGTGCTGTGGTCGGGGCGCTGGGAAAAGCCAGCACCCGCAGAGGACCGGCCGGCTGGGCGTGGCTGGGGAGCCCGCGGGACGCGGGGCTGCGGGAGGT